CACTTCCTATCGACGTGAGGAGTCATATGGAGAGATTTCACATGTGCTCACAAGAGTTGAGAGGTTACCATGTGGCTGACGAGCTTGCTCCAGCTTCACAAGAGTTCACAGGTTTCACCAGAGTGAGACTTGTAAACCGGAACTAGTGAAACGGAAAAGCAAAATGCCCCACCGCCGAACAGCTCCGTCTTTTATTTATCCCCGGATGGGATGGAAGTATGCCCTATGCTCCCGCACAATGATCTGGGTGAATGGCACCTAAGCCACTCTTTTTTTGCGTTCTGAGAGTTCCGGGATCATGCTCCGAAGGGCTTCAGAAGCTTGAGAGCATTGCCACCCAACGGGAGGTAACGGTAGTGAATAGTTAAGAAAATCAACAGTCAACAAGAGGAGCGTATTTCCCTCGTCTCAGGTAGGGGATCGTGCTGGGTTTGCTAGGGAGGGTTTCAACTAGAGCATCTATAGAACCAGATAACATGTTGTGCACCTGTGGGAAGGGGGGGGGGTGCTTATTAGTTTGGTAGTCGGGCATCTTTAGAAGAAACCGTTAATATTTTCGGCCACACCTGTTTTTGGTGCTCTTTTTTGCTATCAAGAAGTTTCAGGGACAAAATATTAAACTTCGCTCCCGCCGCTCCCACGACAAAAGTCGTCAGAATCCAGTCGGGCGCGACGAGGCAGGTGTCTCGCAAGTTGACCGTAATCGGCTAGAATTCGCAGCGGGACACCATCTCCGTGAAGGCCCCGTGCACCCATACCTTCCCGCGTTGACGTCGCCAACGTGGCGCGAATCGGTCGGTCACCTCGGTTTCCGGTCTTGAATGCGGAGAAGGTTTCTCGCTTACTCTCATTTTCTCAAGGTGAAACGGTGAAGGTAATGAACAGCGGATCATAGTGATACATTCAAATGCTCTTATGGACTTGAGACGATAAACATTCTTGAGAGTCCGAGCTCCGAAAACTCGATCAAGGACGAACTAGTTCACTACCACAGGAAATAATGGGGAAGGCAGGGAGCTAGTTTCCTTCACACTTGAAAATCCGTAGAAAAGGATGAAAAACGGATTTTCAATTAGTTTTCGAATGATTTTGAATAAGTGATGAGCCAGAGCTCCTCTTGAGAAAGGCAACTACATGTACATCCTTCTATACCTCTGTAGTGTCCAAAGGGACAGAAAATGTCAGAAATGAGAGAACGCGGACAGGTAGAGCTTTCGACTATAGCTCAGCTCCTGGTTGGCCGTGCGTGGGCGTGCAAAGAGATTGGAGACGATATCTGATCACCGCTACCCTCCAGTGGTGCACTTTAGACCGGACATGGCAAGGCTCAGGATCCACGAAAGTGAGTGTACAGTTTGCTCCTGAACGAAAAGCGACTATCCCACCTGAAAGGTAGTGCCGCGAATGCTCTATAGAAGCCCTTGAGACATTCTAGTGACTTGTATACTTCGGCTCACCTGGTATACTCGAAATCCTTGAGATCGGGTAGTGGCTGCGTACTTGATTTTAAAATGGCGTCGGCCCAGGTTTTCGTGAGATATTGTCATTTCGGAGCAGTCGTAATCATGTCTACATCTACACAGAACAAGATAGCAGTTGTTTCAAATTGAAGTATCCCACGAGAAACCCGTCCTATGCCATGCTCAAAAGCCACGCCTACTCCGTCTCAGGGATAAGGACTGTATGTATGGTGTTGATAGTGATGTTGGGAACAGTCATGGAGCGCACTATCGAAATCTCTCGTGCAGCTACACAAATTAGTGAATAGATGAATATGAAGAACGGAAACTTTTTTTACTTTCTTTAGATGATAGTTTTCTCGTATTTTCGAGGCCCTTCAGAGAGTTGCGAAAAAAAAAAACCCAAA